GATGGAGTTTCACCATGTTGGCCAGGCTGATCTTGAACTCCTGACTTCAGGTGATCTGCCCACCTCAGCCTCCCAAAGTGCTGGGATTATAGGAATGAGCCACTACACCCGGCCCAAACTGGGATATTTTTAACACAGTTCTGTCATTATCTAATGCAGTGGTCCCCAACCTTTTTGGCACTAGGGACCAGTTTCATGGAAGACAATTTTTCCACGACTGGCATGGATGTGGGGTGTGGCGGGGGAGGTTGGATGATTCGAGTACACTAAACTTACTGTGCACTTTATTATTATATTCATTATATTGTAATGAATTAATTATAAATTATATAATTCGCCACAATGTAGAACAAATAGGAGCCCTGAGCCTTTTTTTTTTTTTTTTTTTTGACAAAATCTCACACTGTAACCCGGGCTGGAGTGCGATGGCACTATCTCAGCTCACTGCAACCTCTGCCTCCCAGGTTCAAGCGATTCTCCTGCCTCAGCCTCTGAGTAGCTAAGATTACAGGTGCCTTCCACCATGCCCAGCTAATTTTTTGTTATTTGTTTTTTAGAAGACATGGGGTTTCTCTATGTTGACCAGGCTGGTCTCGAACTCCTCACCTCGTGATCTGCCCACCTTGACCTCTCAAAGTGCTGGGATTACAGGCGTGAGCCACCGCACTTGGCGCCCTGAGTTTTTTTCCCTGCAACTAGAGGGTGTCATCTTGGGGTGAAGGGAGACAGCGAGAGATCATCAGGCATTAGATTCTCTCAGGGAGTGCACAACCTAGATCCCTCGCTTGCACAGTTCACAGGAGGGTTCGCGCTCCCATGAGAATCGAATGCTGCCACTGATCTGAGGGAGGCGGAGCTCAGGCCTAACGGAGCGATGGGGAGCAGCTGTATATACAGATAAAGCTCCCCTGGCTTGCTCACCTCCTGCTGTGCAGCCCAGTTCCCAAGAGACCTAGGAGTTACCCAGAGGATGGCATTTTAGAGTCCAGACGAGACTTCGGGAAATAATATGGTGGTTTTTAGGACAATGAGCTGACCATACTGTGCGAATAAGTAACACCCATTTATCCAGGTTGCTGCTCGAGCCATGTAGCCAGGTCGACACAGAAAAGCTAAAACACAAGCCCCTGACTGAGATCTGATGGTGTTTACAGAGGCATCCAAACCTGGGTGCACTTACACACTGGCACGGAAGCCACAGGCTCACAGTTCTTGGATAAGAACCCGGAAAACATGCATTAAGCAGGGTAAGTCCCAAATTATCTGGACAGCTGCTGCTGTGGGGAACTTGCCTACAGGGCTCAAGTATTTGCTAACCCGCAAGTCTCCACACCTCTGCACACTCACAGGTAAAGGCACCTACCCACGCGGGTTCCTGGTGACATCACTCACCTGTCTGCTTGTTAAGAAACTGCACAGCTTCCAAACCATCAGGGTAGGTCATGTGTGTCATCTGAGCATTTGCATAATAGTAAATCTGTAAGCACCAGAAACACCTATGTTGGGAGGCAGTTTGTGTTATCATTTTGAACCTGGATTTAATCTAGTAAAGTCCTTCCTGCAGGTGGGTCAAAGCACCGTCCCAGCAGGTGGGAGTGGGCTGACCTCGTCCATGGACACACTCCACAGCAAGGAGGCATGGGGAGAGGGCTTGTCACCCAAGCCCAGAAGTCAAGACACTGTGGCTGTAGGCTAGTGGGAGAGAGGACTGGACCGAGGTGGAGTTCCCAGTCCTTCACCTGGGAGAAACGCACGTTGCACTGGCATTTTGCAGCCTCTGCTTCTAAGTCGGTGGGCGCAGCTGAGCCCCGGACCGTCAGCACCAGGACTTGGGACCACGTTTTGTGTTGTATTAAAGCGTTTATCTCCCACTCGTACGCTTGCTCTGGGGTCAGGGTGGCCACAGTGACAACTGCCACATTCAACACCTGATACAAATAACGCACAGAGACACCACCTGCCATGGCTGCGGTGCTCTTTCTAAATGCAGATCATTAACCTTGAAGCTTCCAGGCAAACCCATTAGCTGGATCCCCAGACAAAATAAAATCCCAAGAAAAATGTTCCCACTTGTCCCCCCACTGAAGATGTTGCAAAGGGCAGAACAGAATGTGGGTTTTTCTCGGGAGAACAGAAAACAGGCGGGACCTGTGTTCCCAGACTCCCCCGCCAGGTGCCTACTTTTACATCACACGGAAGTTCACAGCCCAAATTCCCTGCCGTAGAGAAAATAATTTCATTTTATTGACATTTCTTGTAAAATATAGCATGTTACAAGTGGACCACTAGCTAGGGCTTAGAAGTATGTGTGCTATTCTTGCCTTCCAGTCTATTAATGTCAATTGAGAACTGTAAATCAAAATGATAAAAAATGAAACTTTGACTTGGGAAACTCTTAAGCCATGAAAAATATTAATCTTGTTTGACTATGTGCTAAATGCAACCAACTTAAATCTGTAAAAAAAAAAAAATTTTTTTTGAAAGACTGTACCTCAGGAACTAAAGAGAGATTTGGAATCATCTTAATTTTCTGCTCTTGTCAAGAAGATGCAACCATCTCTTGACACTCCACATGTCACTTCCCCAAGATGAAAAGGTCACCTTCTCAGGTCTCCCTCAGGGGAACTAGGTGGGCCACCCTTGCAGAAGCCACTCAGCCCACCTAACTGCAGTTCTGCAATGTTTGGGGAAGAACCAGTGAACTCATCAGGTTGAACGTGGCTGAGAAATCCACCTTCAGAACTCTCTAAGACTGACAAGCTTCCGTCTAAAAAGCAAATAAGTTAAATTTAAAAAGATAGTGCATATACATTGTGGAAGTATCATTATCCTAATGCGATTGCTACATTCAGTTTAAGCGAACGTATGAACACGTTCTCTCTTGTTCGTGAGATTACTATACACATGTCAGATCAGTTCAACAACAAATGATCCTGTAAGGAACATTAATTCTTTACTGAATACACTCCATGGTGTTTCTTGGGCATCACTCTCTTCCGAGTATTCTGACGGATCAGGAGATTCACGGATGGAAAGGCACTCTCTCGGCCCTGAAGCTGCCCACAGTCCCGCGGCAGGCAGACACAGGAGAGAAAAGCCGGATCCTTGTGACACTGGCTTACGGGACCTATGAAGGGTGAAGGAGCACCACAGGCTTCCAGGAGAACCGGGGGTCAGGGGAGCTTCCCCAGGATGGCGTCACTGTCAGCTGAGATGATGCCTGGAGGTTGCACAGATGCTAGCAAGTGGGTGGGAGACAAAGTTCCCCATTCTACCCGGCACCAGCAAGTAAACTGAGATCTTGTCTGGGGGCCTGAAGGGGAGGGGGCGGCAGGAACAAAGCAGCCAGGCTAGTGGAGACCTCATGGGAAGGGCTTCTCCACCCCACAGAGAAGTGCCAAGGGGACTGTGAGGGCACGCAGAGCCTGCGGTGGTCTGAAGCAGACAGATGGTATCAGCCTCACCTCTACGAAGCTCCCTGCAGAGGCCATGAAGCAGCCTGGGGGCAGGAGGCCGGGGGAGTGGACCTACAGGAGGAAGACAGTGTCGGGTTGTGGCTGTGCTGTGCATAAGGGTCACACCCGAAGCTTAGCCACACCTGAGGCTCGGCCACCACATAGGCTCCATTTCTTTACCGAGATAGGTTCCTGCAGGGGTGGCGAAGCTGCTATGGTCATTTTCTGGCAGTGAGGTGAAGAGGGAATTCTTTCCTGACTCCCCCAGGGGCACTCTTGGCTCTTCCCGGCGGGACCCCCAATGCAGGAAGCACCCACAGCTGCATGGACAGAACTGGGGCTTGGGAAAGGGGCCAGGCAGGTGCCACACGAGAGGGCACTCCATCAGGGTGGCAGCAACACCGTGGGCCGGCAAATGGAGGAAGGGGAACAAAGCACCCAGGTCCACCCAGCCCCAGCCAGACGCCTTCTGCTGGGAGTGTGCTCAGAGGGAAGTGACCGCTAGGATTCGGAATCTCCAGTCATGGCCCCTGGAGACCGACATGTGGGCTGTGTGTGGGGTGAAGGGCTGGGGGTGTCGGCAAGTCTCACAGGTAAGAAACCAATGAGAGAATCAGACAAAAAGTGGCCACAAATTAGGCAGCTCCATGAAGGATATGTCCTTGCCATAGTAAGATGTTCTGCTCACGCGCATCCACAAGAAGGCCCCGCATTTTACCGGGAGCATGGAAACAGGAGTCCCGGACCCTGCTCACCAGCTCCTCTGGCTGCTGCCATCTGCTCCTGCAGCATGGCGGCCTGGGAAGCCTGCACTGGTGATTTTCTGCCCCTCGAGTCTTGCAGACTTCAGGAAGATGGATGCATAGCCTGGAGCAACGACAGTCACAGGCCTGCCTTGTCACAAGGTCCCTGGAGTGGGCAATACCTTGAGCCCAAAGGCTGGGAGCACAAAGCCATCTTCAGCCATCCTCGATTTCCAGCAAGACGCCAGGGCTCACCCAACAGCCCTGCACCCCGCACTACAGGGTAGGTCAATTCTTTTAAAGACTCTGCAGAAATATACCAACTACAGAGCTCAGGAAAGCAACTGATTTTTAAAACCCAATTCAAGTTGTTTGCTTTTATTTTTTATTTTATTTATTTATTTATTTTTTATTTATTTTTTTTTGAGACGGAGTCTCGCGCTGTCACCCAGGCTGGAGTGCAGTGGCCGGATCTCAGCTCACTGCAAGCTCCGCCTGCCGGGTTCACGCCATTCTCCTGCCTCCACCTCCCGAGTAGCTGGGACTACAGGCGTCCGCCACCTCGGCCGGCTAGTTTTTTGTATTTTTTTTAGTAGAGACGGGGTTTCACCGTGTTAACCAGGATGGTCTCGATCTCCTGACCTCGTGATCCGCCCGTCTCGGCCTCCCAAAGTGCTGGGATTACAGGCTTGAGTCACCGCGCCCGGCCAAGTTGTTTGCTTTTATAGCATTAAAGACATTTCTGAAGAAATTCAAGGTTTTATCTATAGAAACATATTAGTTTAATAAATTACTTGGTCTATTTTGAATAACAAATTGAGTACTTTTATTAGACCTAAGTGGAACTTTCTCTGAATCTGAATTTTCCATTCAGCCAGTGTAGAGTGGCACAGGTGTCTGAGGGCACCTTTCCATCTTCAGACACCCTCCGTCTCTCTGCACAGGGAGTCGGCCTTCCAGAGGGTGTTGCTCTTCTGCCTTGACGTCTCCCGGAAAGACTTTTATCTCTGTTTTCCTGTGGTGTTGTTTTCCACAAGTTAATTCTTCTTATCTTTAAACTCATTGGCTGAAAATAAATGTGGGAAATGTTTGCATTAGTAACCATTATATTGTTTAAAAATGTTAAGCAACATATCACACCAGCTATCACAGAATCCAGATGATTCTACCTCTGCTTCCTATAGAAGGACACACGTGGCATCCACTACTTGGTGTCTCTGATTCCCCATTTTACAGCCCACGCTCCTGTGGAATTCAGGATTCCAATATATGGCTGATATTGTAGAATAAAGTCAGCAGTGAAATAAAGTGCTTGAAGCTCAATTCAAAAATGCATAATAAAAATAATTGTCTACCTTTTGTGCTATTTAAAAAGTGATGGTTTCAAGGCGTGGATAAGCCACCCATTCAGTTATCTATTTGCTCGTACATTGCCCAGCATGCCTGTGATTAACTCAGGTCCATGAGGGAGCATGAGAGAAGTCCGCATCTCACAGGAGGCTGGGCCTGTGCAGTCCATCCTGGGACTTACAATGCTTTGTACTCATAGATCTGAAAAAGCTCTTTTCCTACTTGTGACAAATGCTTGGAGTCGACTTCTGATCTTCCTTCAGGGAATAAAGTGTTATCTGACCAGCAGTTGCTTTGGGAAAGAATGCAAAGGGATAAATCATCTTCAGGAGTTGGGGGTATCAGTTGCTGGCTGAGGACTCACAATATTTGCCTCCTGAGTATGAGGGTGACACGAAGCTAGGACAGGAAGAGACACACTGGCTGGCAGAATGTTCTAAAGAGGATCTAATTTTAACAAAGAAAAATTTGATAGAGACTGCTGAGACCAGCTCAGTCAGGGAGACCCTAACCCAGCGGCGCTGGAGGAATTAAAGACACACGCACAGAAGTGTAGCGTGTGGAGTGGGAAATCAGGGGACTCGCAGCCTTCAGAGCTGAGAGCCACGAACAGAGATTTACCCACATATTTATTGACAGTAAGCCAGTGATAATTTGATTGTTTCTATAGATCATAGATTAACTAAAAGTATTCTTCCTTATGGGAAACAAAGGGATGGGCCGAAATAGAGGGATGGGCTCTGGCTAGTTATCTGCAGCAGGAGAAAGTCCTTAAGGCACAGATTGCTCATGCTATTGTTTGTAGTTTAAGAACGTGTTTAAGCGGTTTTCCACCCTGGGTGGGCCAGGTGTTCCTTGCCCTCATTCTGGTAAACCCACAACCTTCAGCGTGGGCATCATGGCCATCACGAACATGTCACAGTGCTGCAGATTTTGTTTATGGCCAGTTTTGGGGCCAGTTTATGGTCAGATTTGGGGGCCTATTCCCAACAAGAGACAAAATAGCATCCTGTACTGTGGCCCCGAAGCTAACACTGCCACCCTGTTCAGAGGAGTCCACGCCGACAAGCAGCAGGTGCAAGACAGCAGTGCAGAAGCAGGGAGTGCGGGAGGCTGTGAGCCCCGAGACACAATGGCCACGGCACGTGGAGAGAGTGCCATGCACATCACCTCTGCAGGCTGCACCCATGGAAACAAAGCCCCCAAGTCCATTCGGCCCAGCCAGACGCTTGCTGCTGTGAGTGCGCTCAGAGGGAAGCAGCAGGAGGACTTGGAATCTGCTCTGCAGCAAGAAGTGCTAAGGGTTAGGAACTTGTTTGAAAGGCATGCACTGTGTCCTTGGAAGAACACAGGACTCCAGGGAGCACCATGCTCACCCACGGAGGAGAAACTGTGTGGTGAGGAGCTGACGGGGTGTGTCAGGACTCCAGGGAGCACCATGCTCACCCAGGGAGGAGAAATTGTGTGGTGAGGAGCTGACGGGCTGTGTGTGTTTGTTTACAGAACTTCTGCTGCTCTTTACAGATGCTAAGCACAAAGGTTCACCTTTGGAGGAGCTGAATTGTTAGATGACGATCTTTGTCCCAGGAAAGTGGCACTCTGATTCTTGCGGCCAACGTATTTGGGCATTGTCTCTTCATCAGCCGACGGAGGTGAAATATTTCCAAAAGCGGGTTCCAATGCCTAAAAGACAAAATGCAGGGAAAATTTTCACGTTTTCGAAGGTAAAATAAATTCAAATTTTAGAACAATCAAGAATAATTGGAATGTCCTTGAAAACATTCCAGTACCAGGTAGGGGGGCTTGGACTGGGTTCTCCCCCTAACATGTTGATAAGCACAGAAACCCTCACCAAAAGTCTGTGAAGGAAACTGTGCAGCCGATGTTTGTGTTTCTTATTGCGGTTCCTTGTTTCCAGATGATCACAGGATCCCAACGGCTACAGAATAAACAATACCCGACATATCTTCCTTTAGGCTCCTGTGTCTTCAACCAGGAATGTGCTAATGGAGGAAGAAAATGTGATACTACTTCTAGTGTTGTCTCTACAACTTGTCTAAGATTCAAAATGCAACTTCCCAACTTTCCCTGTTATCAGCAGACTGACCTGGAACAGCGTGATCCTTCAGGTGGGTGAGGTATGTGAGGTCTGGAATGTTAAATTATTCACCACTCTCCCCTCTGAGGAGGAGGAGGGAGTGAGAAGGGGAGAGGGTTGCTATGAAAGAACCCTTAGTATCAGATCCAGAGTGGCTCACCCACACAGCCGTGCCCGCGTTGCTCCGTGGGTGCTCACGCCTCAGCCTTTTAGATATTCAGTCCCTAAAACTGCAACTACACACAGCTACACCTACGCATATTTAAAGTGTGGGATTCACATATCCCATCCTCTTTCTTCAGATCAGGTGTGCTCTTGTGAGCGTAGGTCCTGTTCTTATGAAGAGCTCCATGGTGACCAGTACAATGCACAGAATGGAAAAATATTTGGAAATTCACCAAGCTCTGATCTCGAAATAAGAGAATGATCAAAAACTGTAGGGCATGTGCAGACTGAGTAAGACTTCATTGACTCTTGGGGTAATTGTCATGGTTACATTTCTCCCAACGTACAATGACCCAAATGGGGCAGTAGATACTAATTTTTAGGAACTGGCGTACAATATATGCAGGGAAAAATCCCTGTGGGTCTTCTTGGGTTTCCCCACAGAAGGTGGATAATCCTGGCCAGTATTTGTGGCAATGTCCCCCTCTCTTCCTCTGATGGAGGAACAGCCTGCCCAGCTTCTGCTCATCCTTCCACAGAAGGACTGCGTGCTTTGCTGTGCTGAGAGGCTAAACCCACTTTCTTTCTGAGGCAACAGAAGCCATCTCCATGGAAACAAAGCTCTCGCAGAGCTCCCAAAGAGTGGGAATAACTTCCAAGATTTCCCATCATTTCTTGTAGAGGAACTTGTGGCTGTTCTCGCTGTGCTTGGAGAACAGAACACACAGAGCAGGCTCCTCTGGAATATATTCAGTGGGTGTGTGTGTGCGTGTGTGTGTGTGTGTGTGTGTGTATGTGTTGTAATCACTGTGCTGTATCAGAAATATTCTAAGTTCTGGAAGTACCGATTTAAAAGTTCACACAATAAGTGCAGCTAGGAAATGTTAGTACTTTTCTTAATCCACTAAGAAATATCCCCACGTACATTTGGAGGGTGTTCGCGTGGTTCCATGTGTCGTTACCTGTACGTATAATTTTAATGATTCAAGTTGCTTAGACCCATGTGCGGGAAACAGGACCTAGACAAGGCAGTGGTAACACTGGCCACATTCACACTCTCTTAGGCTGGTTCTTTGAGCCATGTGATCAAACGTGAAAGCTCAGTGTTCTGTAAAGGCAGGCTGGTGCTGGGAGGCACCCACCACTTCAGCATGAGAATGCTGGTTCTCCGTTTGGGATAGAGCAGGGTAGTGATACAGGATGGGGGCAGGAAAGTCCTGGGTAGAGAAGGACGGGTCCCTGGCTAGGGCTCCACCCCTAGGCCTGTGCCCACGGACCCAGGCATTTCTGCTTTCGGGCCCAAATGTTGCATTTCCCAAGACCACCCTGGCCTGCCACACTCCCATCCTATGCCTGTAAAAACCCCGAGACCCTAGCAGGCAGAGACACAAGTGGCTGGTTGTCCAGAAGAACACACCGGCCGAAGAGCACACCAGCAGACACAGCAGACACCAACAGGGCATTGACTGGTGGAATGACACAGCGTTTGCTCGGGGTGGTGGGAGGAGAGCCCAGCCGCTGGGCAGCCCAACCCCAAGGGGAAAACCGCCTTCCCACTCCATCTCCCTTCTGGCTCCCCCATCTGCTGAGAGCTATCATCACTCAATAAAAAACCTTGCACCCATCCTCCAAGCGTACATGTGATCTGATTTTTCAGGTACACCAAGGCAAGAACCCAGGACACAGAAAGCCCTCTGTCCATGTGATAAGCCAGAGGGTCTAATTGAGCCGATAAACACAAACTGCCTACAGACGGCTAAACCAAAGAGCACCCGCCCTGTAACACACACCCACTGGCGCTTCAGCTGGAAACTTTCACCCCTAGACACTGCCGTGGGGTCAGAGCCCCACAGGCTGCCGGTCTGTATGTTCCCCTAGAGGTTTGAGCAGTGGAGAACCAAAGAAGCGAGCCACACCCCCATCGCACACCCTGTGAGGGGGACAAGGGAACTTTTCCCGTTTCAACAGGTCTCTATTGCATTCTACACAGCTGCCCTAGAGGATGAACAGAAGGACACCAGGCTACTGAGCTGGCTCTGCAGTCACCCTGGGTTCAAATCCCAGCTCCATGTTCTCCAGCCCGTGGCCACGATGGAGTTAGTTTTAGTATCCGTTTCGTAGGGTCATCATAGAGAGTAAGACCGTACAGCTCTGTATCTAGCCCATGTAAAGTCCACAGGAAGGGTTTGCTGCTGTTGTCCGGAGATGTCTTAGAATTCTAGACTTGAGACACACAGCCTGGGGGCGGCAATGCTTCTGTCTGCTGGAGTGCCAGGGGAGATGCCTGATGTATCCACTTCTTATTAATCATTACTTACGGGAAATGAAGTTGATTGGAAGTGAGCAACCCCGCCCACCACCCGGAGCGTGAGCGATACCACGTCTCTCAGCAATAAAGCCCACATCTTTACGGGGACGCTATTTTCACACAATGCAAATGGTACAAAAACATAAATGCACTTTTGGTACCGGAGCGCGTGATTCTTGCCCCGCATGTGGGGACGCTGCAGATTTCTGCCTGGCTTCCCACTGCCGCAGCTGCAGAGATCGCAGCTTTTCTTGGAGCTCCACGTTCTGCTTCCTCAAAGCATGTATACGACTCCGGAGTTTTGCATGAACATCAGCCCACAGAGACTTCTGTCTCCCGAGCTCTTGGTGGAGTCTGATGACCTGCTGCTGTAATGGCTGTTATTGGGAAGAGAACACCAGAAAAACCTCTCAGACGTCACAATGGGCACATTTATCTGCAAATACTCAAGCCCTCTCTGATGTAAGACCAACACTATTCCTGGAATAAAAGACACCCGATGAGATAAACAGGACAACCACAGCCTTTCCTTCCTTCCTTCCTTCCTTCCTTCCTTCCTTCCTTCCTTCCTTCCTTCCCTTCCTTCCTTCCTTCCTTCCTTCCTTCCTTCCTTCCTTCCTTCCTTCCTTCCTTCCTTCCTTCCTTCCTTTCTTTCTTTCTTTCTTTCTTTCTTTCTTTCTTTCTTTCTTTCTTTCTTTCCTTCTCTCTCTTTCTTTCTTTCTTTCTTTCTTTCTTTCTTTCTCTCTCTCTCTCTCTCTCTCTCTCTTTCTTTCTTTCTTTTTTCTTCAGGGTCTCACTCAGTCTCTCAGGCTGGAGTGCAGTGGCATGATCTCAGCTCACTGAAGCTTCAACTTGATGCCTCAGCCTCCCAAATAGCCTGGACTGCAGGCATGTGCCACCACACTTCGCTAATTTTTGTATTTTTAGTAGAGATAGGGATTTCACCATGTTGCCCAGACTGGTCTCAAACTCCTGGGCTCAAGCGATCCACCTGCCTCGGCCTCCCAAAGTGCTGGGACTACAGGAATAAGCTACCATGCCTGGCCATAGCTTTATTCTTATTAAGTAGTGTTTATTATGAGTTAGTCCACATAATATAACCAGATAAAGATGGTTAGTGAATTATGATTTTTTTGTTAAAACACTACTACAGCAAAAAGAGGCTGGCATTCTTTTTTTTTTTTTTTTTTGAGACAGTGTCTTGCTCTGTTACCCAGGCTGGAGTGCAGTGGCACAATCTCAGCTCACTGCAACCTCCACTTCCCAGATTCAAGCAATTCTGGTGCCTCAGCATCCGGGGTTGGGATTACAGGCACATGCCACCACACCTGGCTAATTTTTCTTTTTTCAGTAGAGACAGGGTTTTGCTATGCTGGCCAGGCTGGTCTCAAACGCTGTACTGGCATGGATGTATAGTCAATAGTTTAAAAATTATGGAAGTCACTGCATTTTCAACCTGACATGTTAACCTTCCCCTGGGATCTTTCACTGGATCGTAGAGCCTCCAGTCTTGCTCTGAGAATATAAGCAGGATCATGATAAAGGTATAGCCCTGCACTGGGTGGCCCTGGCCACAGGGACCTGTAGGACTTTAATGACAGCAAGCACTGTCCAACAGGGCCCAGTGAGGAAGATGGTAAAAATCAGGAAACTTGCTGGGATGATGTGAGGCATGTCAACTTTCTGATTTTCTTTAATGAAGTTTTTAAAGTCTGGTGCCTCTCCTGGATTACAGGAGAAAAGCTGGAATGTTAATATTTTCTTTAACTCCCTGCCCTGCCTCCCATCCACCAAGAGATATGGTTGCAGAGGGGGAAAGAGCCACGTGCCCCTTGGAGAGGAAGTATGGAATCAGTGTCCCCGGGTGGTGCATTTCTACAGCGGCCCGGCGAGGGAAAGTCCAATGGTGGGCCTCAGGGACAGGAATCAGGGTCCCGCCTGGTGGGGCTAACTCTGTCCCCACAGAGCTCAACTCACTGGCGTCTCCCCGGCGTTGCAGTCCTCTGTGGGGACCTCAGCTGCCGCAGCTGTCTTCTCCATAACACCCCCGGCTCCCGGGCATGGGTCCTCTGGGTGGGTGCCCTTGTGGGTGCCAGCCTTGAGCTGACCTGCCAGCATCCTGGTTGGGAAGGGAAGGGCTATGGGGATGCTTGAATGCAGCCCCCCTACCCTGTCAGTGTGGGCTGAAGGCCCCAGCCCCAACCTAAGTGTAAGCAGGACCTGGAGCCACTCTTCTCCCCCTGGGTCGTGTGCACATTCCCAAGCCTGAAGCTGACCAGGTGAAAGGACACCACAGATGGAGGGACTGAGCTGTCCACACCTGGCTCTCCACCATCCTCCGTGGAAAATGCTTGAAATCCTAGAAGATCAGCTTGACACCTAACGCACTCTGGTCATCCAAAGAGGGGTGTGAGCGGGATGTGAGTGGGGTGTGAGTGGGATATGAGCAGAATGTGAATGGATGTGAGCGGATGTGAGGGGGATGGTCTCGGGGTGTGAGCGGGATGGTCTCGGGGTGTGAGCGGGCGTGAGTGGTATGGTCTCGGGATATGAGCAGGTATGAGCGGGATGGTCTCGGGGTGTGAGCGGGTGTGAGCGGGATGGTCTCGGGGTGTGAGTGGGTGTGAGTGGATGGTCACATGCGACACTGAGGGAATTCTCAGCCCTTTAATCAGCACCACGGGATCAGCACCCACCTGGAGGGGCACAGGCAGACCCTCCACTGTGCTGAGTATGAGTCTTGAACCGTCAGGGCGACATTTGTGAATTCATGGTGAAGACGTGGAAAGGAAACACCTTTTTATAAGTAGAGCATTTATACCAGTTCTAGGAAGCTCACAGCAATTGGAAAACAAAAACAAAAGAGAAAACGCAAAGCTTTGCTGCAAGCCTGCAGGGTCATCTCCGAAGGCTGCCTCCACCTCTGCCTCGCCCTCTTGGTTTTAGGAAGCCCGTGGCCCCCAGCAAAACCCTGACTGTGTTTTCATAAACTTCTAACTGTATACAAACATAAGAAGGAACAGTTTAACCACAGTGATCGGAGAAATGTTGTTTAAAAGAGAGTCTCCTGATGGAAGCGAATGGAAGGTCTAGAACAAGACCTACCAGTAACCGGACCACTGCCGTTCCTTCCCGGCCAGGACTGGGAATGTGTCTGCGGAAGTGGGCTGGGGTCACGGTCCTCACAGCCCTGAGAAAGTTCCTTCTTTCCCACTCCTCTGAGGGGATACCGCAGTGTCCTCGGCCCCAAACTCATGACCCCCTCCGTCCAGGGAAGACCCCTTCCCTCAGCCCTACTACCAGACCTCGTCACCTCACCTGTTCCCTGACAGTCAGTTCTGCTGGGACCAGGTCATCTAGGCCGTGTCCCAACAGCTGTCCCCAAGCCCTCCCGCCTCATATCCAGAGACCAGTGAGCAGCAGACAGTTCCAACGGACTTTCTGTCTTAAAGGGACATGAACGTCTCACTCAGCGTCACCATTGTACCAGCTCAGATAATAATTAAACATCCCCGAACCTGCAATTCTAATACAGAAGCTCATCGTCAGTAGAGTCCATCCATCCACAAAGGACATTGGAGAGAGTCAAACTGCTCCTCCCAATTGACAAAAATCATGTGTTTAATATCAAGTCTTCAACACCCAACGTGTAGTAAGAGCTCATTTCTCTGAGCATACATTTTTGAAGAAATACAAATTTTCTTTGGATATCAAATTATTTACTAGAAAAAAACATTTTTTATGAGGGGAAAATAATATATGTGAGTTTAAATAGGAGACAGGATTCAAAGTTTCATCATTTCACTAAATGCATCTCCATCTGAATTGTTCGTGTGATTTTTGTGGTAGAGAAGAGAATGAGGAGCAAGCGAGAGTCAATGTTCCTGTTAAACCCTGGCCATCCTTCTCATCCATGGTGCTGCGTGTGGAAAACACACACCTGGGGCTCACCTGAGCCTGCTTGGGACGTGTGTCACTCAGATAGTTCTGCAAGCGACTCGCGTGCAGTAGGCGGTAAACGCCGACATCGTGAATGAATGAAGAAAATACTACAAAGAGGAACCAGAAGGCGTTTTTGTCCCTGTGCGTCATTCTAACTGTGGGAGTGTGTGTGTGTCCTGAGATATGTGAGAGGTTGTGTGAGTCCCTGAGGTGTGAGAGGGGTTGTATGTGTCCTGATGTGTGTGAGATGTGAGTGTCCAGAGGTGTGTGAGAGGTTGTGTGTGTCCTGAGGTGTGTGAGGGTTGTGTATATCCTGAGGTGTGTGAGTGTTGTATGTATCCTGAGGTGTGTGAGTGTTGTGTGTGTGTTCTGAGGTGTGTGAGTGTTGTGTGTGTGTTCTGAGGTGTGTGAGGGTTGTGTGTGTGTTCTGAGGTGTGTGAGGTGTTGTGTGTGTGTTCTGAGGTGTGTGAGTGTTGTGTGTGTGTTCTGAGGTGTGTGAGTGTTGTATGTATCCTGAGGTGTGTGAGTGTTGTGTGTGTGTTCTGAGGTGTGAGTGTTGTGTGTGTGTTCTGAGGTGTGTGAGTGTTGTGTGTGTGTTCTGAGGTGTGTGAGGGTTGTGTGTGTGTTCTGAGGTGTGTGAGGTGTTGTGTGTGTGTTCTGAGGTGTGTGAGTGTTGTGTGTGTGTTCTGAGGTGTGTGAGTGTTGTGTATGTATCCTGAGGTGCGTGAGTGTTGTGTGTGTGTTCTGAGGTGTGTGAGGGTTGTGTGTGTGTCCTGAGGTGTGTGAGGTGTTGTGTGTGTGTTCTGAGGTGTGTGAGTGTTGTGTGTGTGTTCTGAGGTGTGTGAGGGTTGTGTGTGTCCTGAGGTGTGTGAGTGTTGTGTGTGTGTTCTGAGGTGTGTGAGGGTTGTGTGTGTCCTGAGGTGTGTGAGTGTTGTGTGTGTGTTCTGAGGTGTGTGAGGGTTGTGTGTATCCTGAGGTGTGTGAGGTGTTGTGTGTGTGTGTCCTGAGTTCTGTGAGGGTTGTGTTCGTTTCTGTGCGCTCCTCTCAGGTGCCACATGGGTTTTGTTTGCAGGTTGAGACCTGGACGGCCGTCCCTCCCCTCTCCGTGGGGCAGGCAGGTTCCATCCCCATCTTCGTGGTGTCTCCATCCCCTAGAGACTCTGCCATCGCTGGGACACCCGGGGGTCTCTCTGCCCAGTCCTCAGAGCACCCTGAGAAGTTTGACCCAGCTGGAAGTTGTGATGTCCTCGAGTTTCTGGAAGCCTTTCTCAGTCATCTCTACAAGTTGGGGAATGAGGGCTCATGTCCAGTGTCTCATGTCCATTTCCACAGAGTTGTATTTTTTATCCCGAGGATGTGTGAGCTCAGATCTGTCCATCTTGCCATCAAAGTAGGTCCACCTGTTTTCATCACCAGCCATCATCGATGTATTTCAGGCTTTGCAGCTCCCCTCCTGAGCCTCAGCCGGAGCGGCTCCCAGGGCAGGGTCCCCCCATCCCTCTCTCTGCTGCAGTTCTCTGTGTGTTGCTCTTCCCAGCCTGCCCAGGACATTTTCTTCACTGAGTCTTCCCCAGATTCTCGCCCTGCAGCAAACACGTGCAGCCACAGGTCAGGTCGGAGCCTCCTGGGCGTTTGGACTATGCGGCCCTTCTCTTCTCTCTGATAAGGCCCCCGTTTCCTGTTCAGCCTCGTGGTGCCTTAGCCGCATTTCAGGCATGGTCTTCCAGGGCTCTCTGGTCTGAACATTCTGTAGAGGAAACCACGGCACATCTTTCACTCATCTTTTAAAATCAGGGAGGCGGAGGTAGCAGTGAGCGGAGATCGAAACACTACACTCCAGAGCGAGACTGTCTCAAAAAAAAAAAAAAAATTATAAATAAATAAATAAAAAAAATGGTGGAATGTATAAACACAATTTTGTGCTTTGCATTTTTTCTCCCCAGTTAGTATACATACAATGACCCTTGTTCCTCTTAAGGGCCGCAGAGTGCTCCACTGTATGGATGTATCATATTCACGCAGGCCCCTCTGATGGCCACGTGGGATGTTTCCAATCTCTTGCTATGATGATGTTGCTATAGGTATAATAGGGCCGAATGGTGACCACCCAAAGATACCTGGTCCTAGTCCCTGGAACCCATAAATACTCCTTACTATGGAAAAAAGATCTGTGCAAATGTGATTTAATTGAGAATCTAGGCCAGGTGCAGTGGCTCATGCCTGTAATCCAAGCACTTTGGGAGGCTGAGGCAGGCAGATCACCTGAGATCAGGAGTTTGAGACCAGCCTGGCCAACACGGTGAAACCTTGTCTCCACTAAAAATACTAAAATTAGTTGGACACAGTGGTGCGCGCCTGCAGTCCCAGCTACTCAGGAAGCTGAGGCAGGAGAATCGCTTGAACTTGGGAGATGGAGGTTGCAGTGAGCCAAGATCATGCCACTGCACTCCAGCCTGGGTGACAGAGTGAGACCCTGCCTCAAAAAGTAAATAAATAAAATAATTAAAAATCTAACAACAGTACCCTGGCCCCCAAGATCTTACAGTCCATCCAGGGAGACAGACTTGTAAACCGTGATTACAACCAGCTCAACGGGGGATGAAGAAGAAGGTGTGTTCGGAAACCTGGGAACTAAGGAGGCAGTGGGCGCTCAACCTTAATGCGGGCTGTGGGAGTCAGGCAAGAATCAGAAACAGGTTACGTAGATGATACTGGAACTATGCTTTCCGCTTTGCAAAAAAATATTTAAAATTATATTTTACAATGTTAGTACACAACGTTAGTATATTTTAAGAAGTGAAGTCCACTTTGATAAAAGAATGTCTATCTTCCTTGTATATATATCTGTCCCTATAGAATACCCATTTAAGTTTGTGTCTTAGTTTGTAAGAGCTGCCATAATGAAATACCATGGACTGGGTGGCTTAAACAACAGACATTGATTTTCTTACAGTTCTGGAGGCCGGAGGTCTAATACCACAGCATTGGCAGGGCTGGTTTTTCCCGAGGCCCCAGTACTTGTCTTGCAGATGGCGGCCTTCTTCCTGTCCCTTTCCTCTGTGTACATAGATCCCTGGTGTCTCTTTTTTTTTTTGAGATGGAGTCTTCCTGTGTCACCCAGGAGAGCAGTGGCATGATCTTGGCTCACCACAACCTCTGCCTCCTGGGTTCAAGCAATTCTCCTGCCTCAGCCTTCCCAGTAGCTGAGATTATAGGCACGTGCCACCATGCATGGCTAATTTTTGTATTTTCAGTAGAGACCATGCACCATGTTGGCCAGGCTGGTCTCGAACTCCTGGCCTCAGGTGATCCACTCGCCTTAGGCCTCCCAAAGTGCTGGGATTATAGGCGCCTCACCTTGGGCAGTTTAATCCCTCTGGACTTTGGTTTCTTAACTCGTGAGATGACAATAGTTTCTAATTTGGCTGTTTTGTGGTATAAACAAACAGAATATGTAGGTCAAGTGCTTAGTACAACCGTGTGGAAAATAGTAAAGCCTGCATAAATGCCAGCTGCCATTACTGTTATGTCTAGCGTTACTTCTCCTGGAAACCAGCCACCTCTCTCCTTGAGCCCTGTCTAGGGCCAGTGGGTTTTCAGAAATCTAGAGCGGCAACTCCGATCTTGCAAGGATCAGCGAGAGGTGGGGGCAAGCGGCTCTCTCGTCACTTCTCCAGGGGGGTGGTTGCTGAGGCTTTGGAAGGAAATTTAGCGAGCTCAGACCCCCTCAAGGCTACTGTGTTCCAAGCATGTGGCAGTTCATTTCAAGCTTGATGGCACATTCTTTGCAGAGCAGTTGCCAAGGAACAAGGTAACTTGTGACACAAATACTGCCTGATGCTGTCAGTTTGATGGTCGAAAGGGTTTTAGGTGGTGTCAAATTTTATTACTAGCATTCCTGGTCTCCATGAAAGAATCACATAAGAAGACAAGTTATGTCAAAGGATAAAACTGCAGACCCAGATGGGCACTGTGCATACAACAGACACGTGGTTTCCTTTTGATATAGACCCAAGAGGGAGTGGATTAAAAAAAGACGAAAATAACACCAGAGACCACAGACTTAAGCTGATCAGTGGTCTAACACTGGCAAGATTACTTTTGTTGATAAATTGATTTCTTGGGAAATCCCGGGAAAGTTCCTGGATGTGACCCCATGGTCCTACCATCACTAGCTATCTGTGACCTTGGATGAGTCAGCAAAGGGAACACACATAGCACAGTGACAGAGTGGGCACCACGGACCACCTGCGACCCCCCCCCGACCCCGTCACAGATGGTTTGCAAATAAACTACTCACGTACTTACTAAGATCTGCTGTACTCAAACACACCAAGCTCTGAGAGTTCTCACTTGGGTATTTAAGGAGTGTAGTGTCATGGGTGGGTGAGTGACTTTTTGGTTAGTAAGTTCTGCTGATTACATGAAGCAATGGGATAACTATGATGGCCAATAGAGTGTTCATACTGCAGGTTCAACAAGACTT